AAAAGTAATTTCTATATCAGATATCTAACGACTATAAATGAACGGAGCTAATGATACTGCACTTAATTGTACATTTAGTGTAATAATAATAGTCAAGTGCCGCAGTGATGAGCTCAAATAACTTTGAAATGACCGGTTATTACCGGTCATTCAAATTTTAAGTTATTCAAAAATGACTCGTGATACAATAACTATTTGATTTTTCAAATAGAGTTGATAAAAATTTTTCCCCGATTAAAAACAAGTGATGATTAAGGTCAATATCGATATGGGTAACTATCTTTGAATCCAGACCAAAATGTATATAAAATCGGTCCGGGTTCAAAAACAATTACCCAAATATCGATATCAAAAAATAATCAACACCTGATATTTAATTGCGTAATAATGTAAAAAAAAAGAACAAATTGCCCACGTCGTTCATATGTCATTGTGCATATAGATGACATCTAGAATTGTTTATCGTGCTCGTGAAGAACTTATCCGACTTTTTATATGATAATGTGATTTTTTTTGTCATGATATTTTTGCGTGAAAAAACTTCACATGGTCATATAAAACACCGATATTGGTTTTTTTCATTAGAGTTAATTTCACTCATGTGTTGCTACGCAGTACATGGAGCCAGGGCACAAAATTTCCGAATGCCGTAAGATGTTTTTTCTCCGGCAGTGTTTATTTTAACCGGAACTTAGAAAACTCAGTCGGATGTAGCAGTTTTTTAATAAAGATATTGTAATATTTATTGATATTTATATACATACGTATATATGATATCATATTCGGAAAATTTCCGACTGATGAAAATAGATTTTGTGCTCCGCATGGAGCATGTTGTAAGTGAAAACTGAATTTAAGTAGGTTCGAATTTTTTATAGAACCAGCATTTCGAGTTGATTTTGGGTGCTCTCAAGCACCTAAATTAATAGATCGGTCTCGATTTTTGATTAGCGAACATAAATTGGACGGTCAAGTAAGCTTGTCATCGCAATGAAAAAAGAGGATGGTCTAGATTAAACCAAAGTGATGAATAATTTTACAACTATTGGTGAAATTGGTGTTGAATTGTTGAAATTTGGTGAAACTAATTTTTCCAACATCTCTAGTCAATTGGCTAAAATTTAAGGTCTGTATTTCGCAATATGAATCTTCAGCAAAATTGTCGTAAGAATGACCTCAACTAATTATGGTGCTTGTGCACGATTCGTTTACTAGCTTATCACATTGAGGGGGATGCTTGAGAGCACACTTATCATGTGTGCCTTAAGTAAAGTCTGGGGTATTATAGAAGTTTCATAAAATTTTTACACTTACACAAAATGTAAATGCGAGAGCAGTGTTAATTTTTCGATCAAAATTTACTGTGCGGATGCTGCACGATTTGAAAACTTTTTGTGCGCAAAATTTTGTTTTTGCGTGTGCGAGAGTGAATTAATAAAAAGTATATTCAACTTACATAAATTTCTGTGAAAGATGCAATTTATTATCCAAAGCGGCTTAAGACATAAATAATGATATCTTTATTAAATTTGTAGAATTTCAACGTTTATATGGATGTAATCATAATTAATTCTGATTATGATTTTACGGTGAGTGATGTGTCTCTACGCAAATACGTGCATCTTGTTGGTTAGTATTTTTTTTCATTTTCCATAAGAATAAATACATATTTAACCGAAGAGATCAAGTTTATTGTTATGCAACTTTAAAGTTCGTAGTGTATTGGTCACTTTTAAACCTGTGATATGATCAGGTCATACCTTGATTTTTGACTATTTTATTCCTTTTTTTTTGTATTTTCAAGATTTTATTTTTATTAATTGATGGAATTTTTTTGGCGTCTCAAGCACTCACATACGTATTAATTGTGTTTTATTTAATATAGATCGCACAATGAGAAATTGGGAAATGCTATTATTTAAATCGAGCAGGAACTAATTGTACTTATGGGTAATGTAAATGTTGGTTATTAGATTTAGCTGGCATATTGAAATATAAACAAATATAACGAAACCTCCATAAGTGCACCCTCTATAAGTGCACACACTCTCTAAGTGCGCACACCCAAATATATACATGTTCTCTAAGTGCATGGCATTGTATTTTTGGTTTCTATAAATGCAATTTTTCTTAATTGTTCTCTATACTTCCAAGAAGTTATTAAAAATTGTAACATCAAGAACAATTGATTACGACTCTTATGTGCGAAGAAGGAGACCATCATATAAAATAAAAAGAAACCATCATAGTCATAGCTCTGGCAAGTTACCTTATCCTATTTTTCCATTGTACGCTTATATTTCGCCTTGTGACAATATTGATTAAGTAGTGTTCAATATAAGAATCAGAGTGTCCAGCTATTTCTAGCATCTAAAATAGCACTAAAAATTTGATAAAATTTTTCTTATTTTATTTTATGATCGAATGGTTGAATTTGTTATCGCTATGTAGTTGTAATATCGTTGGTGCTATTTTAGATGCTGGACACTAATAAGAATGTTCGCTTCGTTCTAAATAAGAGTAAACAATGCCATTATTTATATCATAAAATGGGACATTTCACTCAGGATTGTTTATCACAACTTATCTCGCATCCCAAATTGTTACACCACGAAATGTCACGGGATAAAAGCGATGTTTCCTGTGAATTTTGACAGGGCGCAGGATCGATTTTACTGTCACGTGATTCTCGAAAACAAATGTTGTTAAGTTAAAAACTTCTTTTATATTTGAGTTGGAGTTTAGCTAAAGTTAAGAAGCATAGCATAGCAAAATTACATAAGGAAATTTTGAGATAAATGCCCTTTACGTTACACCTGATCCTGATCTTTGATTGGCTGATAGACGTCGGAAATTCAGGTGACAGTAAATCGATCCTACGCCCTGACGTTGTTGTTTCCTGTGCATCAAGGCTTAGATAATATAAGGCTTACCGGCTGAAGATCATGACCTAGATTATTCGATAGAAGCAAGGCTCAGGATTAGTATAACCACTGTTAAGCCTCTTAAAGTAGCGATTTATCTGAAGTAGCGCCTGGCTAAAATTAAGCCCCTGAAATTAGATCTTCATGCATGCATTAAGTTATAATTTTAGTCAGGGCGCTACTTTTTTAATTTTAGACACCGCATATTCAAACCATAAACATCACATGCTTTAAACCGGTGAAAAATGTTTTTTTATCATCCCTACTACTTTAGATAAATAAAGTAGCTATTTTAGATAAATTGTTACTTCAGATGTGACATATCCATTAGTCTATTATTGTTATGAATCGTTTAAAGAAAGTTAGTTATGACACGTGCACAAAGTAAGGATACAAGAATACTTAGAATTAGTCTGCATATTCCGAATCACTATAATCACGCCTCTGATATAAGCCTAAAGGTAATAATTTATTAGATATAATTTTATTATTTGTAAGTCACGAGTTAAAGAACTGAGTGTTAATAACATTATCTAACATACAACATTATACTGATTTTTGTACAAATTGTCCTAACATACTAGAAGACACAATTCATATGCTTACCTGCTCTCATAACCAAATAGAATTAAAAGAAATCATAAAAGAAGCAATAACAAAAATCTGTGAAGAAAATGAAATCGAATCAACTACATTAATTGATCTAGCTCAAGAAATTCAGAACATCTACATAGATCAACAAATTCCTATTGGAATTATAACAAACAACTTAACTAACCTTGGTGTTGTAAAAATGAATTTACTACCAAATATCTATCATCAAATTACAAAAAAAATACACAAACATATATGGAAACCAAGCAGAACACATATTCAACAGCAAATATTGACACTACCAAATATTATTAATACTAACTCAGATAATATATCACTAACATTAATTGATAGTCAATACACTATATGGCTTAATAGGTTTATACAATTTAACCAATCATCCCTTCTTATCAATCCCATAGACTAGAAATCTCTTAACCATTCTAGCTAAGAATAGGTTGAAGGTAAATTCGCCCTAACCCCTACTCCCTAGTTTAATGTATCAATTTGTACTAGTTGTACTTAATTATATATTACTGAAATAAAGGACTAGAGGAAAGACCTCTCTTAAAAAAAAAAAAAAAAAAACAACATTATACTGATGCTAAACAATATTATGAGGACGAAGAAAATAGAAAACCGAAAAAAAATAATAGTTGTCACTTTAATGACTTGTGAAAAAAAGTTATTTGAATTCTTATCTGATGTCCAATTGGTTTTTGCCGAACATCAGGACGAGGAAGTTCAACATGCAATGATTTATACGGTGCATTGTATTAAACCTGATATTTGCTTTCCTGATTTCGTCGGTTTAAAATTATCGATGTTGGTGGGAATTATCGTTATGTCAAATATTTTAAGCGTGACTTTGGTGCTGATCGCATTGTTGTCCACTCATTAATTTTTACGATACTAGTCGTATTGTTGAAGAATAAGAAGAAACAACTGGCCGCTTAACAGAAATTTTAAATTTACCATTTCAGCATATGATTTAATGGTCATGAAAGTTTGGCTGATAGATGTGTGTTGTTTTAAACTGGATCAAAATTGTTCGGTTGAAAGACTGGTCGTGATTAGTATGCATTCTACGTATGCATTCTACGTATGATGTTAGGTTGCAATGATGACCGGTAAACCCTCAAATTTTACGTGACTATACAGTGCGTCATTATTTCCGAATTACAGAATTAGCTATATATTATTTGTTGATCGTAGTTAGAGGTTGTAAATTCAAAATTGCTATTAAAAACCGGTTTACTATTAATCCAATTTTAACCTTCAACCTTAACCTTAATCCTACTACTACGGGTATACTTACAAATTTTCAGAGTATCAATGATTGTTTTGTGATCATGATATTGTTTCTGTTAACAATCGTTATGATTATAAAATTGATGAATGTGAGGTTGTTTAACATTTTTCTCTTTGACTCGTGTTGATCCTGTCTGTGTTCATGCACTTTTATGGTGAAAATCAACACGTATGTACATACGTGCATTGCTCCTATGGGATATTTGGAATGCCAATTTAGTTATCCAAAGTTACTCTCGAGCACAAAATTATTATTTGGTGATCAATAACAAGAGTGTTTCCACTGCTTCATCTGTATCATTGGAGTGCTTTGAACTGGTGGTAACCTCAATTTTTGTATTAGACAATTGCTTTGACTTAATTTACTATACAGCAGATTACTGAACGTTACAATTTTTAGTGATCATTCTACTTTTGGTTTAATTTTCGATGTTCGATGTGTACCACAAGTTTTTCGAATACGGAAGTAGATTAACAGAAACACTCGTTATTTTTGGAAATACATGACTTTGTTGATTGGGAAGGATGTTTTGTGGTGATTATTCATCATTTTACGGATATTAATTGTGCGTGCCATCATGAGTGCCTAATGTCGACAAACTGGATGGTGTTTACAAATAATATGGTCATTGGTGAGGTGAAACTTAAATTCATTCGTGATAGCGGGAATTATGATCAGTTTCTGTTATTTTTGATTTTTTGATCAGATTTTAGATCAAGATTTTTGATCAGATTTTTGATCAGATTTTAGATGGTAGTGTTGATTCGAAAGTGGATTAGTAAATTGTTGACGTAGTGTCGAATGAGAATTTGATTATTCATAATCTTGATCAGGCCTACCGAATAATTGATTGTGGGGGCAATTAATTGCAATTTTTTGAACTCAATTAATTAATCGAAAAACATTGTCACGCTCAAAATTATGTATGGGGCGAAGCCAGCCGGAATAAAGCTTGAGATAATTTTATTGGAAATAGATATAGTAATCAACAATATGAAGAATAATAGGAACTGAAACAATGATTTGACCTGAAAGTTATCAATAGTAATTACGCTGGGAATCATTGTAACAGACCAGGTGGGAATCAGATGAGCATTAGCATAGTTATTTACATTAAGCCGGTGGTTTCCCGCCTGCCAGTGCAGGCTGGCTGTTAGAATGGCAGAATCAGGTGACAACTCCAAAATTGTTTGTGATTCTGTCATTTTGTGCCTTTGAGCTTTGTCCGTCGTCCTATATTATTATTATTATTATTTTATTTATTATTCCATATTTATATTTTTATTTATTTATTTATTTATTTATTTTATTTTATTAGTATTATTTGCATGCTGGAGGGTTGTAATTAAATGGTATTATAACCTATAATTTTGGGGCGCGATTTTGGGTTGTGTGGGCTTTATACAGTTTGTCATAATTGTATACTCAGATGCAAGGTGATTAGGAAGTCATTATTTGCAGGTTCGTGTAAATTAGTTCTTTATTAAACTGAATTGATGTTGACATATCGAGTTAGCTAGATCTATCTTGCTTTTCTGTGGGCTATGCTGCATGAACGGGTGTAGTGCCGGACATTCTCTTTATTCGTTAGTTTTTTTTTCTTTTTTTTTTGTAATCGTGTATTGCTTGTCATTGTGATGCTTCTCCTTCTCTCTTCACACGCGCACTTCTTTTTCTTTTCTCCTCATTTCAATTTTTATCTTTTTGTTTTTTGTTGTTTTTTATTTATTTATTTATTTATTTTTTTATGTTAGCATGTTTCACTATTTAATATCATTCTGTTGTTGTTATTTATATGTAATGCTTTCTTCTTTTTCTTTTTTTAAAAAAAATAATTATATGAAATCTGGATTTACTATTGTATTGCTTATTTTCGTTAATTAAGCTGATTTCCTTCCAATTTGTTGTAGGAGGATCAATTGAGGTATTCTTTGGTTAGAATAGATGCGATAGTTGCTGGATGGTCACAGATATACCTGTTAAATGATTCAGAGTTCCATCTGTTAATTTTTTGTATTAATACAAGTTGCACACCTTGCATGACTAATTCAGTAGTGCCTCTAGCCTGAAAGCTGTGCCTTGCAACATCCTTGTGGGGAAGGAGTTGCTTAAACTTTGATATAAACCATTGCTTTGTTGTCCATGTGCCATCAGGCTTAGCGAACAGCATTGTGTTGTTCTTGGCATAGTAAGGTTGTGTGCACACTTGTGCATATGATTTAAGGACACATGCAGTGCATAGTGTGTTATTTGTAGGGTTTATTATCAGGAAGACTTTGTTTGCTGTTTTGTGGTTCTTAGTTTCTGCTAGCTGTATTGTTGCGAATGTGATATTGTTCGTCTTCTCAAAGCTCAAAATGTTTAACAGTGAGACTTTGTTGCCATTGGTTTAGTTGCTTGGCAAAAGTTTGCCAAGACATGCGAGACTATAGAAAGCTGTTAGTGATATTGTTCAAAAAGGAAGTTTAAGGGGTTGTTTGTGTTAGATATATGCTAGATGTTGTCACGTGACATATGCTGTTTAACTGACTTATGAATGTGGATTGTATTGATGGTTTTTAGAAGTTGGGTGACTAGAGAGTTATTGCAGGTATTAGACCAGTCATGATAGTTCCTTAAGTGGTAATGTTTTAGTGTTGAGAGATAGGTAGATATAGTGGATAGTAAAATGTCTTGTATATATTTTATAAAAGAGTCTTTTGATATTGACTATATGGTCCTATTTTGGTTTATCAGTTATTACTGTGAGCCAATGTTTCATAATGCTTGACAACTGGCTTGTATAATTTGCTAATGAGAGTTGAAACATTTAATATAATGGTTGTTTTTTTGTTTAGAGCTAATTAGTTATTAAAGAAAATAAATTTGTTGTTGCTGTTAAGTTTAAGCATTATTGTTTAAATGATAAGATAAATAAAATTAGATCTATAAATTTAGAAAGAATATTAAGTTAAAGATATTGAGCTGATAGGTTGTTATAAATAAATTTACAATCTTTATTACAGAATAGTAAATTATTATTTTTTTTGGTATTAAGGTGACCTCTTTGGTCTTTTGACTTTTAATAATCACTTGTCAGTATTGTGATTCAATGAACCACTACAGGAGAGCATACAATTGGCTACACGTGTAAGTTTTCTATATTACCTATTTAAGGAGTCCACCCGAAGGTTCCCCACCAATTGCTATACCTAACACCCCTGCTTGGGTGTTCTACTTTAAACCCTCTAAACCTGTAACCTGTGTTAATATCACTGGTCATCTTAGATGTACCAGATCATCATCCTCAACCTTAGGACTAATTTATCCTTGAGGTAAACCCCCCAGAGCCTTCTGTACCCATTTTTACAGCTGACCTAG